GTTACAGTCCATAATGAATGCGCCGGCAAGGCTCATCTTCCTGTCTGCCAGCACCTCCCATGCCTCTCCCTTCTGTCAGTCCCTACATTGGCTTCCTATAAAATATAGAGCTCAATTTAAAATTCTGGTTCTTGCTTTCAAATCTCTACATAATGCTGCTCCCACCTATCTATCCTCCCTAATACACAAGTATGTCCCGTCTAGGCCCTTACGCTCTGCTGAAGACTTACGTCTTTCTCCTGTCCGTACTCCCACCTCTGATGCTCGCCTTCAAGACTTCTCAAGGGCCGCACCGTTCCTCTGGAACTCACTTCTCTCTTCCGTTAGATGCTCAACCAGTCTCCACAAAAAAATGATTAAAAACCCACTTCTTCATAAAAGCTTATCAATTAAACTGTTAATAGCTCTCAACTGATTTCTCTCTTGCAACTGTCATTAGTCTAATACTATCCTTACCTTTTTGTGTCACTTTACCCCACTCCCTCTAGCATGTAAGCTCATTGAGCAGGGCCCTCAACCCCTCTGTTCCTTTGTGTCCAACTTGTCTGGTTACAACTACATGTTTGTTCGTCCACCCACTGTAAAGCACTGCAGAATTTGTTGACACTTTATAAATAATAACAATCATAATTTATAGAAGATTGCCAGTGGACTAGATAGAACACCCTACATAAACCGGAGCTCTCAGTGCAGTATATCCTGCAGTGCCGGTGGACGCACCACTCAAAGTACCAGGTCTTATTGCTTAGTAAAGCGGTTAACGGTGCGGGTTAGCTAAAGAAACCCATGGAAGATAACGTGACTGAACTGCTAAACCTTCATTACCTTACACACCAAGGCTGTATTGTCACAATGACCATGCGCCAAAATGGAATGCTTGCTCTTATTGTTGTATAAACCATGCGGATTCTGGAAAACACAAGTTCTAGGAAATTGAAAAGGCAGCTTGGACATCTGGTTCATCATTTCTGCAAACCAAACTCAATAGCTTTAGTTTCCTTTTGTGTCTAAAAGCCATCAGGTCTATTACTGGATTTCCAAAGTAATCTATGTCTATAGTTTAAAAAAAATTAATAAAAAAAAATCTTTGCTGAAATGTCACTGAAATAAGATAACAGTTCAGAGTCCGCTCACAGTGTTAAAGCAGCAAGATACGGATAGCCTCCTTATTGCCACTGCAGCTGTCAATATGATTAATCTGCGATAGAAAGAGTGAGTCAGGAGTAACTGACATGTTTAGATTTCTAATAAATGTTACAGCTATCACATTTATGTACAGTTGTCAGACTCTGTACTGTATGGTTTATTGTACCTATGTATAGCAACCCTGGCTGTATGTGTATCTCCATACTGTGCCCAGCTTTGTGTATTTTTTGAGTATCTGTGTAATACACTCAGCTGTGTATATTGTATATGTATTGGTGTTCTAGCTGTATCAAACCTAGCTCTGACCATTTCATGGGTATATCTTTATTGTATGCAGTCTAATATTGGAAGACTACCATTAGAGACTGAGCCCAAGAAGTTAATCGGACCCAGCCCACCAGTTCAGAAGATGATGGTAACTGTAACGGACCGTTTTGCCCACAAGAGGTTAAAAACCGTTAAGGCGATATTCCCCTTTCAGATGCACAGACAGCTACTGCAAACTACACGAATTCTCCAACTCCCGAACATGAAACACACGAATACTAGAAACAGCTGAACAGGAAAAGCATACAATCAGCTTACACTCCTGGCAATCAGCATACAATGCAATTCCCCCAATAACGAGACAACACTTCGTTTTGAGGTCAAGCAGAACTGACTGTACTGGCACATACAGCCTCTTTTATTCACAATCCACAAACATAGTACTGCCCACAGGGTTTTGAAATACAACCAATCAATCCATCCAATACACACAGACACTCCCACACAAAATCCTCCCCTCTGCCTGTGATATGATTACTGAACACAATGGTTAATATAATTATCACAGGCAGAGAAATATGTATCATAAAACACATCACAGGGACCCCAAAACATGCAATAACCCCATATCCTTGGAACCGGGGGATCTGGGTGAACCACATATTCAAAATTCACCCAGATCCGTTCAGTACTTTGGAAGATACAGTTTAATGCAGATTCCACAGAACATATGCAGGCTATATGAAAAACAGTTACTGTATAATGTGTCCCCTGTTGAATAGTCCAAAACCACTGCACGATGTCTCTGTGCACCAAATACTGGCGAGATGGCACCGTCTTGAAAAGTCCAAACAGTGTCTGTGAGATAAAATGGCCACCATCCATTGTTCCCACCATGTGCCTCTGATACATGAAATGGTGGCCACCCAGTAACTCCACAGTATGTCCCCAGATAGTTCTTAAAGGGCCAGCAGCGGCACAACACAAATTCATTATTCCCAAATCATGTCTTTAAAGGGCAATACATCCCAGGGGCCATAGTCACATGGCAGGAGGCTGGCAATCAGTCTTCTCCAATGCCCAGTGGCGAGGTCGGTTGAACTTCACCAGCTGTCAATGAGCAGAAAATCATCCACAGATATTAAAATAGATGGTTTTTAGCCACTAGCTTAGAATCCAGAGGATGACATCCCTGGTAATTAATAAATAGAATACTTTAGCAGTGTGAGATGTATATTTACACCTGTCAATCATATTTTATACACTGGGAGGAAGTGATATCACAATCTCTCTTTGCAAGTGTGCTGGAGTTTAAAAGGAGACATCCAAGCATTCAAATGAAGAGATCACTTTATCACATATCTGGGATGTGGTTCCATTAGGGGGAGATACTTACATTGGAAGAAACTGTCACCACAGAGTAAGATGCTCTGCCAGGCACCTTACCAGAGTACTGGATGCATTGATGGTGGCCTTGATTGCATCTAGGGTTTAATGAATTTGTAATGTATTTTTAACATAAAAGAAGAGAATTTTGAAACAGGATGGTTTTAAGAAGCAAAAGAGATGAAAGTCAAAAATAATGCAGAGGCAACACACATGCAGATTAGTGAATTATCACACAATGATTTGAAAGGTTAGTGAAAAAGCATGGTTTATGCTTTCCAAGAAGTTCTGTTAGAGAATGGGTTTCAGTGATAGCAGTTCATCCATTTAGAGATAAAGAAGAAGCAACTGGTGATATAATACAGGAGGAAAGCAGGAAGCTCATGGAATAGATTAAGATCTAGGTTTCATCAGCCTACGATGAGCAAAAAATCCAAAACAGGTTTCTAGATTTCCAATAAAAAAGTAATGTAGATGGGGTAATAAAAAATTTAAAAAAGTAACCATAATAGACGCTTGTAGTTACTTAAATGAAGGTGGAAACAGACAGGAGGAGAGAGAAAGCTGAAATTGTTTAGTTAAAATATTACAAAGGGTGAGACAGACGCACTTACCTGATTCCAGTCGATGTCACCGCGCACGCGTTAGGCCCTCCCCACGCATTGCCTCAAAGCTTTCCTATATGGATTTTCTAGATGCAAGGGTGACAAGGTCCAAAATCATTTCACGGAGTTAAACTCTGTGAAACTAAAGGAAGCGCCCTAGTGGCTGTCTGGTAGACAGCCACAACAGGCAGTCTTAACACTGCAATGTTTTACATTGCAGGGTTAAAGGAACAGGAACCCTGCACAATGAGATGAAGTGGTCTGGGCGCATATAAAGAATCTTTAGAGGATCATGAAGGGAGCTATTATACTCAACAGAACAACTACATTAAGCTGGAGTTGTTCTGTTGTTCTGGTGACTATATAATTTCCCTTTAATGAGAAAATTTATAGAGAGTAGGGACTATTTTGGAGCTTTATATATCATTAATTAAATTAACACTTCTTTAAAAAAAATGAAAGAATATATAGTCACACACACTTTGGAGATTACTATATATAAATAAAAATAGATTTTAGAAAACTATGTATAACTGACAATACAAAAGAAAACAAAGCAAATTTCTTGCAGATCCTGTCACTGTTAGAATCTCGCCTCCAAATTGGTCTTAGAAAATAATCTGAAATGTAAGAAACTATCTTTTGACAGAAAGGATGGGGCATCACTTTATTATACAACCATATCACATTTCATAAATTGCCAATATTTTAGTAGACACATAAAAACAGATTAACAATAGAATTATTGTACAAAAAAAAATGTGTTATTTTAATACACTAATCCTCAGACAAATTGTTCTTTTTGAAACATTTTTAAACAATTAACAACTTTAAAATATTTTTATAAATATTGGTAAAAAACAAAACAAAACAAAAACAAAAACATCCATGTTTCTTTGAAATGTGATACTGAGTTTTTAAAAAATTGTTTGGATTCAGCAGAACTCAAATTCTGTTGGATTTAACCCCAGTTTGTAACATTTATGCAATAAAATGGGATTTATAGTAAGTGACTGGTACAAGGATCAGTCTTACAAAAAATATCAAATGTCTAGTAAACATTTATGGCAGTGGCTCTTGATCCTGGGTTGGATTTCAAAAGGGTGTACAAGCAATTTCATTAGGTCCATTCAGTTTAGTAAAGAGTCATTTCATATTCATCAGGTCCTAGGTAAAGTGCCAATAGATTGTTTGTTGAACCTGAATTGAATTTGCCATTGCCTCGGACTTAAGGAAGTGTTTAATAAAGCATTATTGCAAATTTCAAGTTACTATAATTAAAGAATTTGTCAGTGAGCAAATATCACAATAAAGAATTGTACATAAAGCTAATGCCATCAAGCATTGTCAATCCATTTGGAGCAGAAAAAAATTGATTGAAATACTTGATCAAGCATGGATCAGTCACTGCTCTTTTGGACATTTTCATGTATGAAAATTATTGCAAGTAAACCCTGCATAGGTAATATTGTAATTCAGAATCATACTACACACCTGCATAATTAACAATACTTACACCTGTGATGCAGGTAATGTAGACAATGTCTAAGTGCAAGGCTTCTCCAAAGGAAAAAAAAGAAGTACCTATATAATTACAATGTTGTGATGACCTAACAATAAATTACTGTATACTCCTTCCAGGAATCAGCTTTCCTTTTGCAGTTACTTTCCTGAGTGTATATCTGGGGGACGCAGCTGACGTTCACCCTCAGCCAGGAAGATTTGTAGTGCTCTGTACAGCATGTGTACCCCGAGATTCCTTCGGCGAGCAGGTTTCCAGTTCTGTAACTGCCCATAATATACTCCTTTCTTCTGATTGGTTAGCATCTTTAAACCTGTATAGGACAACAAAGGCAACAGAGAAATTCTAAAAACAAATAAACATATAAAAATATTTATATCAAATGAAAAAAAAAGGTTTCAGCAAATAATTATTTCTAAATATAAAGAAAACAAAAAAAACAGCGTATTTAAATCTGGAAGATGCAGTCAAACTATTTCCTAATTCACTGGTGATTAAATGGACACTCTGGGTACACAACCTTTTGGAGGAGGAACCTTTCTTGTGTAAAAGGCCCTATTAAGCACTATGGAGAAGGTCTCCCTTCATTTGTCCTCCAGCCTCCAACAAAGAATTTTACTCCATGGAAAATGGTGCAGGGTGAAGTTCCCAGCGCCGACTATGCACCCCTTCCACCGGGGACACACGCAGTACAATTACTGCCATTTTACTGGGTCAGATCCTGCTCTTTTCCAGCAAGGCATACAAAAAAAAAAAAAATATATATATACACACACACACTAAAATAAATATTACTGAGGTCATTGTAGGAAGGTGGGAGGAAGGGAGAGAGAAGCAATCTTCCCCTTGCAGGTGCTCTGCCTTAATATTCCTGTCTGTTGTCAGAATGCAGAGTTCTGGGCTGCCAATGTCACGTGTACTGACGGTGCAACAAGCCCCCCCAGCGCACACACTTAAAAACATGTCAGTATTGGCAGTGTTTTAATCAAAAACACTGGACATACTGACTCCTACCACCATGACCACTTCAAATCCCTAAAGTGGTCATGGTGGTTGGAATAATCCTTTAAACTTAGTCGACAGGTTTTGGTGGTTTGAGTATTCTTATCCTTATTCAAACCGGATAAAAATTTTAAATAGCTGTTAAAGAAAAAAAAAAAAACCTGAAAAACATGTGCAGCTTAAGCTGGCCCCCTTAGCCACGCTATTTTCATACAAATCAGTTTTTTTTTTTTTTACTAAAGTCACAATTCAAAGTGAATTTTGAATTTAAGGCCAGAGTAGCTGAACTGAGCGCATAGCTGACTGTTTCCATTTTGGCTATTTTGACCTTTAAGGGTTACTCCAGCCTCAATTTCTGCTTCTTGAAGTCGTCATGGATCAACGAGTCTGCGTGTGCAGCGTTTCAGCTTGAAACACTGCCCATACAGAGCTATTTGCACTTTTATGCCAGGGGTTAGATATACGCCTGAAACATGTGAATTAGGCAGCCTAGAACTCCAGATGCCTAGATTATGTTTGCTTTTAGCGTGCACTGCGCTCCTGACAGATATGATCAGCTTCAACTTTCGGAAGCCATGCTGAGAGAGCGCCTGCAAGAGAGAGAGAGTCTAGATTTCCCCTCCCTCTCTCCATTGCTGCGCTCTCTTCCTGCATCAATCCAATGACATTTATTTTTTTTAAATAAATTCACTCCCTCGTCCACACCCCATTCCCCTCCAAGCTCAGATCGCAAGCATGTGCTCTGAGCTGGTGAGAATAGTCCAATGAAATGTTTCCCTATGAGAAGAATTTGACTACACCACAGATGGATAAAAGCAGTGATGTCAGATGGGGCTTGGAAATCAGTAAGTTAATGCTTATTTTGCAGATTTATAAGGGGTTGGGAACCAAATACTAATGTACAACAGGGCATTCTAATTACATTTTCACTGTATTGTATAACCCTTGAATGTGGTCTCTTAATAGATAAGCAGCTCAGCCACTGAGTAGTTTGAGCTTAGTTGCCGTGAAACAGAGAACGCAGAGGAGGAAGAGGACAGCCAGGAAGAAACATGGTGGAAATTACTGAAACATGTACAGGTGCTACTCGAAAAATTTGAATATCGCGCACAAGTTTATTTATTTCAGTAATGCAACGTAAAAGGGGAAATATATGAGATAGACGCATTACATGCAAAGCAAGATAGTTCAAGCCGTGATTTGTCATAAGTGCGATGATTATGGCTTAAAGCCCAAATAATCCACCATCTCAGTAAATTAGAATATTACGCGCAATCAATAAAATAAGGAGTGTACATAGAACAATATCGGACTTCTGAAAAGTAGAAGCATGCATATGGACTCAGTACTTGGTTTGGGCCCCTTTTGCAGCAATTACTGCCTCAATGTGGCATGGCATGGAAGACCAGGATGCATCAATAGCGGCCTTTAGCTCTTCCACATTGTTCGGTCTCATATCTCTCATCTTTCTCTTGGCAATGCCCCATAGATTCAGGTCAGGCGAGTGCCAATCAAGCACAGTAATCCCACGGTCAATGAACCAGGCTTTGGTGCTTTTGGCAGTGTGGGCAGGTGCTGGAAAATGAAGGCGGTATCCCCATAAAGCTCGTCTGCGGAAGGAAGCATGAAGTGCTCCAAAATCTCCTGGTAGATGGCTGCGTTGACCCTGGACTTAATGAAGCACGGTGGACCAACACCAGCAGATGACATGGCTCCCCAAATCAACACAGACTGTGGAAACTTCACACTGGACTTCAAGCATCTTGCAGCGTGTGCCTCTCCATTCTTCCTCCAGATTCTGGGTCTTTGGTTTCCAAATAAGATGCAAAAGTTGCTCTCATCAGAAAAGAGGACTTTGGACCACTGAGCAACAGACCAGGTCTGTTTTTCTTTAGCCCAGATAAGATGCTTCTGACGTTGTTTGTTGTTCAGGAGCAGCTTGACAAGAGGAATATGACATCTGAAGCCCATGTCCAGGATCCGTCTGTGTGTGGTGGCTCTTGATGCACTGACTCCAGCCTCAGTCCACTCCTTGTGAAAGTCCCCAACACTTTTGAATGGCCTTTTCCTGACAATCTTCTCCAGGCTGCGGACATCCCTGCTGATGTGCACCTTTTTCTACCACACTTTTCCCTTCCACATAACTTTCTCTTAATGTGCTTTGGTACAGCACTTTGGGAACATCCAACTTCCTTCACAATTACCTTTTGAGGCTTTCCCTCCTTATGGAGGGTGTCAATGATGGTTTTCTGCACAACTGTCAGGTCAGCAGTCTTCCCCATGATTGTGATTCCTACTGAACCAGACTGAGAGACCATTTAAAGGCTCAGAAACCCTTTGCAGGTGTTATGGCTTACTTAGCTGATTAGAGTGGGACACTGTGAGCCTAGAATATTGCACCTTTTCACAATATTCCAAATTACTGAGATTGTGGATTTGGGGTTTTCATGAGCTGTAAGCCATAATCATCGCACTTATGACAAATCACGGCTTGAACTATCTTGCTTTGCATGTAATGCGTCTATCTCATATATTAGTTTCCCCTTTTACGTTGCATTACTGAAATAAATGAACTTTTGCACAATATTCTAATTTTTCGAGTATGTCCATCGGTATATCGGTCTTTTTTACTTTATTATACTTTAACATCTCCTGTGAGTCAGTTCCAGGGAACAAACAAACCTTTAGTTTTAAGCTCTTAGCAAAGGGTGCAGTCTGCCTCCTTGAAGGATTTTCTATCCTACCAATCTCTGAATCAGAGATCTATCCTACCGATCTCTGAATAAATTAATCCCTGGGTGCATTTAGTATCAGAGACCGGTTTCCTTTAAAGAGCTAACCTGGGTGCAGTCCAAATTCTAAGCTGTACCTCTTCTCTGTATTACACAAAGAGGAGGCATGGCCTCTTTAGCAATGGTCCAATCCAATGCTCCTCAAATGTTTAAAGGTAAATAATAATTTAAAAGATTGGTTTCCTAAAATCTATGCAACAATCCCTTTTGAAGGGGGTACCTTACCTGTGTTCAATGCCCTATTGGGCACTATGGACAAGGACCCCATTTGTTTGCCTCCAGTCTGCAAAATAATGATTTTTACTCACCCACATAGGATATTATGGCACTTTTTCTAGTGCCATAATATCCTTCTTTAGAACACACATATACATATACATACACACACAAATGATATTGAAAATAAAGTAAATGAATCTACCCCACATTAACTGGGTTAAATACACATGTGCAGGTAAGAGTAATATAATCAGTTCCAGATACAGAGATCCTTTAATTTGATCCATTTATTAATATAGAAGAAAATAGGTTAGATAATCTAATCTAACAAGATTTAAAAGAAAATAACAAAAATAAAATCTTACCAATGGCATCCACCATGCAGGCCTCTCGTGTGTATGCCTCTACAGGAATGGTGTTCTGGAAGCAGTGTAAAGATATCACACCTTGACCACTTTTCCATATGTCCAAAATGTGTTGCACCTTGGCACACATCTGTAAATATGTACCAGTAAATTGTATTATTACTGACCTGTCATTCATTACTATAGAAATATATTACTTTCTTGTTATTTACATCATTACTATTGGAGTATAGTGAAAGAGAGAAAGAGACAAACAAAGCACTAATGACACAGAGGAAGAGAGATAGAAGATTAATTGTATCCCGGTCTGAAGCTTCTCTAAACAATATGGTTTACATACATTTCAGAATGGACACATAGAAACAAATCTGAATTTCACTAGAATTACAAAACGTACCTGTTTGTTCCTGCCCTTGTAATGGGTTAAAGCTTCATAGAGGTGAGAGTAGGGACGTGACCTTTTTCCTTTGCCCACGTAAAACACAGAACTTACAAAAGTGCGGAAGCATTCATTCTGGGACAAATTTTGGCAGCGGGACGGAAGGTTGCGTGTCACTCTTCGAGAAAATATACAAAACTACCATCACAACAGAATAACGGAGGTGCTTTTTTAGGTCATGGACTGTTAATATGGATTTAACTATGGTTAACTACACATTTCCTTACTACAATCTTGTAATATTTAGAAAAATCATAATAAAATGTGAATAAAAATAAGTCCTTAATATTACCTAGGATCCAGCAGCAAGTAATTGAAGCTTGATTTCAGGACCCCCTCTCTCCATTTCCGGGTCTTATCTGGCTGATCAAACTCCAAGGCAAGTGTTGCTTCATCGCAGTTGCAGTCTGGAATATTGAAAATTCGAAGGACAAGAGAGAGCTCAGGGCTGTATCCTGTATTTAAAAGCAAAAAAAAAACAAAAAAAAAACACCACCTTATAAGATTATAGTTACGCTAATGTTACAATTTTTGTATGGCAATAAAAGCTAGACTAAATGTTTTTTCCGATTTGTGAAATAGCTAAAGGAGAACAACCATAAAAAAAAAATCAGCATGGTTTTATGAAGCACAGGTCATGTCAAACTAACTTGATTGCATTCTAGGAAGAAGTAAGTAGAAGTATAGATCAGGGTGTTGCCGTGGATGTGATCTATTTGGATTTTGCCAAGGCATTTGATACAGTTCCACACAATAGATTAGTGTTCAAACTCAAGGAAATCGGTCTAGATGAAAATGTTTGTTCTTGGGTAGAACATTGGCTTAAAAACAGAGTACAAAGAGTTGTCATTAATGGTAAATTTTCAAGCTGGACAGAGGTGGCAAGTGGTGTCCCTCAGGGGTTTGTTTTAGGACCCTTTCTATTTAACATGTTTATAAATGAAAGTCATGTTTCAGTGTTTGCAGATGACACAAAACTTTGTAAAATAATACAATGTGAGCAAGATATTACTTTGCTGCAGAGGGATTTAGATAGACTGGGGGACTGGGCACTCATATGGCAGATGAAATTTAATGTTGAAAAACGCAAAGTTATTCACTTCGGTGTAAAGAATACACAAGCAACGTATGCCCTCAATGGAAGCGAATTAGGGATAACAACACACGAAAAGGACTTGGGAATTGTTATAGACAACAAACTATGCAATAATGTGCAATGTCAACCAGCAGTGGCCAAGGCCAGTAAGGTATTGTCATGCATGAAAAATGGCATTCATTCTCGGGATGAGAATATAATTTTGCCTCTTTTTAAATCACTCGTAAGACCCCATATTGAATATGTTGTGCAATTTTGGGCACCTATTCTAAAGAAGGATATTATGGCATTAGAAAAAGTGCAGAGGCGGGCTACAAAATTAATAAAAGGAATGGAACATATCAGCTATGAAGAAAGGTTAACAAATTTAAACCTATTTAGTTTAGAAAAAAGTCGCCTGAGAGGGGATATGATAACATTATACTAATATATTCGGGGCCAATATATACCATTGTGCGGAAATCTATTCACAAACCGGACTTTACATAGTACACGAGGCCATGCGGTTAGACTGGAAGAAAGAAGATTTAGTCTAAGGCAAAGGAAAGGTTTTTTTACTGTAAGAACAATCAGGATGTGGAATTCTCTGCCTGAAGAAGTGGTTTTATCAGAGTCCATACAGATGTTCAAACTGCTACTAGATGCATACTTGCAAAACCAGAATATTCAAGGATATAATCTTCCAAGGATGAATCTGACTGCCATTCTGGGGTCATGAAGGAATTTTTTTCCTAGCTTGTTGCAAAATTGTGCTTCAAACTGGGTTTTTTTGGCCTTCTTTTGGATCAACAGCAAAAAACAAATGTGAGGTAGGCTGAACTTGATGGACGCAAGTCTCTTTTCAGCTATGTAACTATGTAACCTTAAGTGAACAAAAACTTAAACATATCATGATCATAAATATTTTGCTAATTAACTTACAAGCCGTCTTATTTGAATAATAATGGTAAGGATATACCTGTCAGTCTGACTTATAGAAACACTAACTTTACAAATAAATTATTTTAAAGCCTGATGTATTCCTTAGTATGCTTAGATTGTAGGCTAGTTTGTTTTTTTTTGTATTTATTTATTTTTTTTTAAACAAAGTTCAAAAAGAAGCAATTAATCTTACTTGTAGTCTATGATCTCTGTCCAAAAAAATGCTTCTCAGTATGGAGTACATAAAGCTCATGCATAGAAATCACCACAATTTGACAATCCAATGCTTCTCTGTGAGAGGCACTGAATTCATTGCTCTCTGTGAGATGAAAAGTTAGCTACATTTGGCATTATCTTGCCATTATTCTACAATGTTTTACATTGCATGACATAATGGGCAGAATCTAGGTACCAAAAGCACTACAATAATATGTAGTGGCTTTGGTGCTTAGAGTGTTCCTCTAAAAAAAAATTGCGGTAAGTTTAAAATTTACCATCATACCTGTGGATCCACTGGAGCCTTTGCTTTGCTGTTCCTTTAAACATTTGTCTAAAAGCTTGATATACATTTTCCGGTTCTGGCTTGTCACTGGTCCAAGGCGATCTTCTCCAGCTTCCAATAGTCTTCTTGTAAGCTCACTATTGGAGAGCCTATAAAGCTCCACTGCCACCCGGTTAGTGGGTATCTTGCTTACTGCTTGCCTATTGCCTTTATAGTCTGTCCAATCATAAAGTATAGTATCATCTGAGTTCTCAGTTGTGTTGTTAGAGGATGTGTCGGTACATGGTATATGCCTCTCTATGAAGGTGTGCCCCTTATCACAGTCTTCGTATAAATATTCCACTGATTCGAACTTACTTTCATTTACTGGCCGGCCGCCTGGCGATAAAGGCACAGTTCGGGCATTACAGTCAATCACAGTACTTAGCTGGCATTCGTTTATTCCTTCTTTAGTAATACAGGATAACCTACTGAAACTGTATCGTGGTTCATTAAATTTACGCACAGAGTTCACTGCTAGATCTTCCAACAGTGTGCTATGTACCAAAGAGCCACTGTATTCTGTTCCAGGAAAAGATTGTCCACACTGAGTGGATGGGAGTGGATTAACTGTGCTACCTTGGCCAACATCTCCACTGCTTTCCTCTTCACCATCTTCAGTTAACCATGTATTTCCAGTATGTTCTATCACAGGGATTCTTGTGGAATCACAGACATGTGGATCAGATTTCACTGGTTCCGAATCAGTTGAAGACAAATCATCTGTTAAAAAGTCACTGATATTTACAGTAACATCTGGATTCCTAAATGCATTGACAAAGGTTTGCCTTTGAACTGTGGAGTCTGCCAGTTGAAAATTTGGTACTTTTAATTCATATGTCCCCACATTTTCCATTTGTTGGGAAACTATATTAACTGGAATATTTTTTTTTGTGAACGTATCCAAATTTGAAGGAGGAGATTGTGCTCTACTACCAGGGCTTCTGACTCTCCTTCCCCGTTGGGGCATTTCAACAGTTTCGTGAAAAAGGGAAGAATTACTGTGGTGAGAATTGGATGAATTAAGATGACTTTTTTTACAGTTATTATACAAGCTAGGTCCTTTCACTTCAGCTTTCATTGACGTGGATGGAAAAGACTTTGTGGATATCATCATTTTCATTAGCTCTGTACTCAGTTCCTCATCCTTTTTTTCTTTTACAACATGTGTGTGTGGCTCCATTGCTAAAGTATCTGGGATAGCTGAGTCAATAGTTCTTGTTTGTAACCTGGTCGAAAACATCATTGCTTTAAGTTGGTCATTAATAACCCTTCTTTCAACACCTTGAGGGTTTTCTTGGTGATTAACTGGAAGAGTATCTGAGGTAGATACATCTGACAATTCGGCATGGTCTTTCAAAGCTGGTGTATTGTGCTGTGAAAGGTTTGATGCACAGGCTTTGGTTAACAGCATTAAGTGTCTTAATTGATTTTTCAGATCTTCGTGGCCACTTCTAGGACAGGCGTCATCACGTCTAACTATTAAAAAGGTTGAAGACTGGTCATTGCACAGCACCTCTGTGTCGTTCAGAGACCTCTCATTCAGCTGAATTTGGCTTTTACTTGGCATAGCATCACGTTCAGGGCTTGCATCATCACTACCTCTAACTACTAATAAAGTGGAAGATTGACCATTAAGAACCATCTCTTTAGCTTCTTGAGACTGTTCAGCTAGCAGAGTTTGGTTTTTACATAAAACATTCTGTGTAGGACTTCCTCCATTTGTGTGATTGTTGAACGTTTGTGAACAAGAAATCACGTTGCTCCTATTCTCCAAGCTCCTTTTTGGCAAAGATGCAGTCATTTGTAGCACTGACAGTTGTGGATTGCAAGACTTTGTTCCCAAAGAGTACCGAGCATCTATGCCAACATAATTTTCCTCACAGATAGAATAATGGTCACTCTGACAGCTATTATACTTGCTACTAGAGTCTGCATCCTGGTCTCCTATGTAGTCACCCCCATTTTGACCTTGAATAAACAAGGTCTCTTCCAGATCATTATCCTTTGAGGTTTGTTTGCTATATGCAAATATGTGATCTGGAGATGTGACATCCATTCCTGTCATTTTCCATGAGATTGTGTTATCATTAATTTTGCTACTAGACTGTATGTCCACAATAACATCTCTATTACGGTTTAATTTACTTTTAACAGACAATTCCATCTGGGCTTTCTTTTTAGTATAATCATCTCTTTTTGCATACTGCATTTGGTTATCCCTGAAAATCTGTCCATTAACTGATGTATCCAGTTGTGGCTCTGTATCAAACTGTGCAATACTTCTCAGAGCACAATCAGATGACTTTTTGCTTGGCTTAAAATATGGAAGAATTTTGTGACTATTGTCAATTTGGTTTCTCTCATTAGCCAGCTCAGGAGTCTCTTTGTTTTTAAAATCACCATCTGCATCCAAGCCTGGAAGATCCACCTGACTTCGGATTATTGCATTATCCAGACCTTTTGTAAAAAGTGTTAAAGGGGACATCCTGGTACTGTTTAAAGGAGAACTGTCATAGGAAGACTCAAGGAGAAGAGATATGTTGCTTATCTGAGTGATGCCATCAGACACAGATAAGTTGTCCTTACGATATCCTAGCGTGGGACAAGATAGAAGAAATAATTATAGCCTATAAAAAAACAAATTAGAGTGTACAGTAAATTAAATAAGCAATTTATAAATCTTAAAAACGGTTTAACAAAACTGCACAAATAAGACGTGATCCACTGATTATTTTAGGAAAGCAGCAAAGGAAAGGGTTCTTCAAAGTAACAACAGAAAATGCAAATATAGAACAGCCTAGAGAAGATGTGCATTCAGAAACTAGACCGCTTCAAAAAATATAGAAGATTCTAATAAAAGGTATATATGAATTTAAACATAATTAAAATATTACTACTGCTACTAATAATAATCAATAATACATGGAGAAATACATTAGCAATAATTAATTTCCTATTTTGAGGCACAAATCAAAATTGCTTCAAGTATTGTATTTGTCCCCTTAATTGACAAAAGGTTTAGAGTGATAAACTTAATTTATTGCAGCCTAATGTTACTGTGACGAGACCAATCTCGCCACATTGCATTGGAGGAGCCTGGTTGCCTGCCTGCTACCTTTGGATTATGGACCGGCAGTTAAACAGTTAATTTTACTGTGCAGAAAGGTTTATTCATGCCTTTTTGCACAGCCGTTCGGTAGATTTAGTCTACCGCACAAACCGCCTTCTATTAGCCTCCCCAGAGCCGTGGGGAGCCGGCAGGCGCTGTTAATTGGCCGCCCAGAAGCTGGCATGTGCAGTCAATTGACCACCCAGTAGCTGCAGTTAACTGCAGCTTAATTGACTATTACTGGGTGGCTGCGGTTACACTTAGCGGCCGCTAGGTGGCAGTGTTATGGAACTCCCCCCACGGCCAGCGGTGCTCAGCCCGGAATCCGTGCACTAAAAGCGGACACTTTTACGTGCTGGCACCGCTGAGCCTCCAGCCTTCCCTGCTTCTATTCGTGGCTATTTAACCAAACACCTGATCATTCGGGACTTTGTTTTATGTGAATGCTTTAACCCAGATAGCACAGCCATGGAGCCTATTTGTGTAATTAAAGACTTTGGCTCCATGGAAATTGAACTGTGTGAATAGGATCTGAGCGCTATTCAGTAGTTTGTGCGCCCAGATCCCAGCTATCTGGGGATATATGACATGTATGGATTTTATGTATTAAATGTAACACTGTATGTTTTAATGTATTTTACTGTCTTTGTGTCCCCACGTGTATAATGGAGTTTTGCCTCTGTCCTGGGAGATAATTGGATTACTTCCCAATTATCTCCAGGATAGAGGGAGGGAAATTAGGATGCATTGTGGGGATGTTTTACTTCTGTGTTTCTGAATGTGATACATGTCTGTCTGTGTTACAGTCTTCCATCTGGTCCCCTAGGGGAGTGTCCACCAGGTGGGAGACCTGCATAAATACTGGGCAGGTAGCCCTCAATAAACCAGACCACTGCTTGACCCTCAACACAGAGCTCTGTCTTGTCTTTGGGGGGGATTTACTGTATGCTGTTAGAGACTGATTGCCAGGAGTGTAAGCCGCTTGGGTGCTTTTCCTGTTCGTCTGCTAGCAGCTCTTCGTGAGGTTCCAATTCGGGAGTTTGGAGTGCTACCTTGTATCCAATTCGGGAGTTTGGAGCATTCCCTTGTATCCAGTTCGGGAGTTTGGTGTTCTGCAGTAGCTGTGCCTGTGTCTCTGGAAGGGAACATCTACTAAACGGCAGTTTAACCCTTTTATGCCTGGGGGTGCCGTAACAGTTACTATGTCTACAGTACAACAAAAGTGTTTTATTTAAACGTCAAAGTTCTGATAAGGACTGGTATACATTATGTATCTACTGTGCATTGGTAGATATTTTGATGGGGAATTAATGCCAGGACTTTTTTTTTTTCTTGTTTATAAAAATCAACTGTATGGCAATTTATAAAAAATAAAAAAGTGTTTGCAGATGACACAAAACTCTGTAAAGGAATACAATGTGAGCAAGATATTACTTTGCTGAAGAGGGATTTAGATAGACTTAGGGACTGGGCACTCAGGGCAGATGAAATTTAATGGAGAAAAATGCAAAGTTATGCACTTCGGCATCAAGAGTGCACAAGCAACTTATACCCTTAATGGAAGCAAATTAGAGATAATCACACACGAGAAGGACTTGGGAATTGTTATAGACAACAAACTATGCAACAATGTGCAATGTAAATCAGCAGTGGCTAAGACCAGTAAGGTATTGCCATGCATGAAGAAGGGCATTCATTCTCGGGATAAGAATATAATTTTGCCTCTTTATGAATCGCGGGTAAGACCACATCTGTTCTAAAGAAGGATATTATGGCACTAGAAAGAGTGCAGAGGAGGACTACAAAATTAATAAAAGGAATACAACATTTTAGCTATGAAGAAAAGGTTAACAAATTGAAACCTCTTTAGTTTAGAAAAACGTCGCCTCAGAGGGGATATCTTAACATTATACAAATATGTTTGTGGCCAATACAAACCATTATGTGGAAATCTATTCACAAACAGGACTTTACATAGAACACGAGGTCATGCTTTTAGACTGGAAGAAAGAAGATTTAGTCTAAAGCAAAGGAAATTTTTTTTTTTTTTTACCATAAGAACAATAAGAATATGGAATTCTCTGCCTGAAGAAGTAGTTTTATCTGAGTCTGTACAGATGTTTAAACAGCAACTAGATGCAAAAACAGAATATTCAAGGATATGATTTTTCAATCTAGGGTAAATGCTTGATTAATCTGACTGCCATTCAGGGGTCAAGAGGGAATTTTCTTCCTAGTTTGTTGTAAAATTGGAAGTGCTTCAAACTGGATTTTTTGCCTTCTTTTGGATCAACAGCAAAAACCAAATATGAGGAAGGCGAAACTTGATGGACACGTCTTTTCAGTCTATGTAACTAACTATGTAAAAGTAAAGAAATAAACATGGAATGTTCCTGCTGATAAATCCACTTTAGTTTGCCACAATGCATAAATGTGGAAAAAAAAATTTATTATACACACACAGTTTTGCCAGCTCTTGAATGAAAATAGTAGGTCTGTCCCCCTGTTACGCCTCTTCAACAAAACTTTACATAGGGCCATGGGATTGGAGATTTCTGATTTCCCTTGATCTTATTCCTACGTATCTCAGCCACACTTCATCTCCTCCTCTTGCCCCGCCTCTCACTAAAATTCTCAATCTCTACCTCTCCTCTGGCATATTTCCATCATCCTTCAAACATGTAACCCTGATTCTAAAAATGCCCAAACTTGACCCTAACTCCCCATCCAACTACTGCCTTTTGCATCCAAGATCCTTGAAAAACTTGTGTACTTGTGTATGTGAGACTGACAGACTTCCTAAATCCAACTCTCTGCTCAACTCACTTCAATCTGGTTTCCTGGCTCAGCCCTTTGTGGAGCTCTGACCAAAGTATCCAATGATCTACTCGCTTCAAAAATATCATGGTCACTATTCTATCCTAATGCTCCTTGACCTTTCCGCTGCTTTTGACACTGTTGATCATCAACAGCTTCTTCTCATCGTATGTAATCTCAGCCTCTCCTGGTGCTCTTGCTACCTCTCCCAGCGCTCTTTTAGTGTTTCTTTCCCTCTCCCTCCCCAATGCCTCTCTGTTAGTGTCCCCCAAGGTTCAGGCCTTGGTCTCCTACTGTTCTCGATCTATACTGCCTCCCTTGGTAAACTCATCAGCTCCTTTGGCTTCCAAGATCACTTCTATGCAGATGACATGCAAATCTATCTGTCCTCTCCTGAGCTCTCCTCACATCTCTTGACTAGTGTCTCTGACTGCCTCTTTGCTATTTTGAACTGGATGGCTGCCCACTTCCTTAAGCTCAACTTGTCCAAAACAGAACTTCTGGTCTTTCCGCCTTCAGGTGTTGCTACTCCCATTTCTGTCTCCCTCCACATTAATGGCGCAATCATCAGTTCCACCACACAGGCTCCCTGTCTAGTTGTTCTATTTGACTCCGACCTCTCCTTCACCTCTCATGTCCAGTCGGTCCCCAAATCTTGACACTTCCATCTCAAAAACATTGCACGCATCCGCCCCTACTGAACGCCAGATGCAGCTAAGGTGCTGGTCCATTCCACGGTCCTCTCTCACCTTGACTACTGCAATCCGCTTCTCAGTGGTCTTACGTGCTCCCAACGTGCCCCATTACAGTCTATAATGAATGTGGAAGAGAGGCTCGTTTTTCTGTCCGCCCGCACCTCCCACGCCTCACCCCTTTGTCAGTCCCTGCATTCGCTTCCCGTAAGATATAGGGCTCAATTTAAAATTCTGGTTCTTGCTTTCAAATCTCTACATAATGCTGTTCCCACCTATCTATCCTCCCTAATACACAAGTATGTCTCGTCTAGGCCCTTACGCTCTGCCGAAGACCTACGTCTATCCTTTGTTCGTACTCCCACCTCTGATGCTCGCCTTCAAGACTTCTCTAGGGCTGCATCATACCCTCCCCTTTTCCGATAGACGCTCACCCAGTCTCCACTTCTTCCAAAAAATAAAAATCATCAAAAACTAACTTTTTCACAAAAGTGTATCAATTAAACTGTTAATGGGTCCGAACTGATTCCTCTCTTGCAACTGTCCTTTAAAAACAAACAAAAATAAAACCAACACACTAAGTCTTCAGTGAATACTATTCTACTTCCCTAATACTATCCTTACCTTTTGTGTCACTTTACCCCACTCATGTAAGCTCATTAAGAAGGGCCCTCAACCCCTCTGGTTCCTGGGTGTCAAACTTATCTGGCACAATTACATGTTTGTTAGTCCATCCATTGTAAAGCGCTACAGAATTTGTTGACGCTATACAAATAGTAAAAAAATATTTCGCCTCTATGCCAAATCTCTGAATCAAAGGCCTTTGCTTTGGATTTTCATTTTCGTAGGCTTAATCTTCATCAACACTGTGGTCTGGACACAGATAGAAGATGTTTGAAGCAGAGTCCTTTCGTTTGGTGCCACATTATTCAGGATTCCCTGGTTCTGGGTTACTATAATTACCTAATTACCTTCTCTATGCAAACACCTCAAGGAATAGGAAAAAGAGAGCTCAGTCATTGAGCCAGCCACCTCTCACTACATTAACAGCACACTTCATGGAGGTGGTTAGAGAATAGTGTGAGCAATGCACTGACTCACCCTTGGTTACATGCGGGTTTCTGAAACCCCACCACAGAACTGATTCGACCCCCAAAAATGCAATCAATTATTTTGTTCCCTTTCATTGTCTAGTTCGAAACTGTCCTAATCGGTCATACTCTTGTGGTTTCTTTTGTATTCTATATCCAACAAAACGAACATTAATAGTAGACACAAATCAGGAAAAACAGTTTAACGACTTACCGGGATTCTGTTCTGAACAATCTGTGCTCCTCTCCATATATTCTAGAATAGTCACCACACACCTGCGATTCTCTTCCATCAATGCCAGGTCCGAAGCACTGTTTCCATCCTAGGCAAGAGGGAAAAAAAAATGTCTAAAAGTACTGTCCAAATTATCGATTATATTTTCTTCCAACATGTATAAATGGCATAAATACAAATGGTTTAGAGTGAAAATCTAGTTCCAAAATAAAAATTTTAAAAATATTTTCAAATATACATTTGCTCATTATTGAGCTCTGGCATTTCAGTAACATCCATTGCATAAAATCCAGCACACCGCCATGAAATCTCCATAGACAAACACTGACAGAACAATGGGTCATAATGAAAAGCTCAATGGGTCTAGGATGAAACAAGTCAGTTTGTAAAATGTATGCCCTATCAAATCGTCCTCAGTCAACTGTAAGTGCTATTATTGCGAAGTGAGGTGTCTAGGGACAATTACAGCCTAGCCATGAAATGGCAGACAATACTTCCTCAGAGAGAGCCAACTGCTGAGACACATAGTACATAAAACTCATCAACCATCTGTTGCATCACTCACTACAGCATTCCAAGCTGCCTCTGTAAGAGACATCAGCAAAAAAAATCTACTTAAAGCTTCTTCAATATATATTTCCCTGGGCAGGCAATAGTACACAAGGTAAAAAAAATAATTTTAAATTTAAAAAAAAAAAAAAAAAAAATTTTTACACATTTTTAGGCAGGGGAACCTACCTAGAAATGCCCTACAGGATAATATAGGTTAAAAAACAACAACAACTCATGATTGCAAAGGGTTAGAGTAACCCTTTGAGGAAGAGGTTCCAGGTCCAAGATAGCCCACTACATAGGCCGTACCATCAGTAGATAGCAGATATGGCTCACATTATGAAATCTTACCTGTGGCTATAAAAAGCAGGGCAATAAGACACGTACAGTACTAAACCTAGCTGCACAGAAACAGCCAATCATTACAGACAGAAAGAAGCGGAGGTCTATCACGTTCATAGTGTGATTGATTATCTGATATTTCACTCTGTTTTACATGTCCTTTCTGACCTGTCACCCTTGACCCAGCTTTGTATGCATCTTACCTGATCTCTGACCTCTCTTATCATTTGATCCTCATTATATACATTAAGCCTGGCCATTCTAATTACCAGGGATAAATTACTGCATTCTCTGTTAAATCAAAAGAGAGTTCATACACTGTGTGGTAGGGTATATACCATGACAGGTGGCTGTCTAGCAAGGGATCTTCAAAAACCACATAAATTAATATGCTGAATAGGTTTTCTTTGGGGGTTTTTCCCCACTATTTTCCTGTTGGCTAACAGCACTGTAATTTGGTGACAGTTACATTTACCGGGCAATCATTGATCCAGTACTTCTACTACACTCGGAATCTTCATAAGTAAGCAAGTTAAGGTTACACAAATTTGTATAATTAATCTGAATTGTATAAACAAATATACATTTCTTGTATTATGCAGTAACATTTTAGTTCTAATATTATGTGCGAATGAGTGCCATCTAGGGGAAGCAATAATCAAGCCTAGCAGTTTATATTAAAAGTGTACAAGAAAAATAAATTTCAAAGGCACAAACTGTTTCATCTGGAATAGTTTGACAGAATAACAGACCTGATCCAGCAAAGTAGGGTCCCCACCTTTCCGGAGCAAGGCAAGTAGAGCCTTACAACAGCCCCAGGATGCAGCTACATGTATAGGAGTCAACTCCTCTATGGATCTGAAACCAAGAGATAAGAGCATCAACAATAACGGAAGATGTATTTATCAGTATGTGAGAAAGTTCTTATAGAAATTCTACTTGAAAATTGGCACACTCTAGGCCCCCAAAAATGTGTTAAGCTTTATCTTTTTTTCTAACATAAAATAATAATTTATTAGGAAAAGATGAGCTTCTAAAAGCAAACACATTTTATGTTTAGCTGATAAATTTATTTTCTTTCTTGGTGGTGAGTACATAAGCCAAAACAGAAGGAAACAAAACCAGATCTGGTAAAAAAGTCAATCTCTTTCTATATTGTTCCTCCTTGAAATGTCACCCAGTTCTAAGTCTAAGTAAAGTCCAAAAAGGAGAAAGCTACAATGTCAAATATTGTATGTATACTATATACTGTGAGAAGCCCAGACACAAGAGGTAGAATATGTAACAGGAAGCAGGGAGACCAGAGCAGAATAGCTTTTTGTTCAGAATTTGAAGAGATCTGCTAAGAATCCATCTGAATTTGTTGGTGGTACATTGTAGCGTTGGTGTGAGAGACTACTGTTCATCCATTTTCAAAGTAAGCATTTTACCTTAGCATGTAATAAATTGCATATATACAGTTATGCTATTGTCAGCTGCTTCCTGTCTTCTCCCTCTATTTTCTTTTTAAAAACTGGTGGATTTAAAGGGACACTCAATATATTCATTGCCTTCTTCTTACAAGGTACTTTGCAGAGGTATAACATGCTCCATAGAAGTTAGGGGATCACCTATCAATCTAGCTATTTAGGACAAATATAGAAGTCTTCAGAGTTTACACAGTTCTACCTTCCTCTAAAAATGTGAAACAGAGTTCCAATTTGGATGTTTTGTCTTCTCCTGTTGTGTTGGCCAAGACTTCCCACATGTTATAACTCAAGGACTCTACCATCATCTGAAAGAATAGGGAACAAAATAAAAGGAAGCATACCGGACATTGGGATCACCTCCATCTTGCAATATCAATGCCAGACATCGAAGGGCACTCTCACTCTCCCTCCCTGAGGCAAGGTGAATGGCAGCAACACCATTGGGCAAAACCAAGTTTGGATCAGCACCACGTTGCAAGAGAGCTTTTACCTCTCTAGAGAAAAACAAAAATGCAAATACAATTATATAGTTTGATTCAGTGAAATAAACAATTTCATTTTATTTTACTTTAATGCATTAAGAGTTGAGCAGAATTGAAACTAGGAGCAACTAATGTGTTTGTTCATGTTCTTCTCATATTCCAGTTCAATTATTGCAAAACTATTTCTCATTGGTCGCTTTCAAACCTTTTCCACACTACAGTTTATTAGGAATTAATTTATTTTCGGTCACTAAATAAAGGCCTCAATGTTCCCATAAATTACATTAATTCTCTAATTCGCAAGTACATCTTAGTCACTTCACCTGTCCTTTGTTTACACGGACATCTTCAGCTCTCACTCCAAGTTCTTCTTGTGGGCTGCACTATTCCTACATGCCCTACCCTCATCTTGTTGTATCTTCTCCAATAATTCTACAATAATTTCACACAAAAATAAATAAATAAGTGTTTAAAGGGACACTAGTCACTAGAACAACTACAGCTTAATGTAGTTGTTCTGGTGAGAGTAGTCATTTCCTGCTTGCTTTTAATGTAAGCACTGCCTTTTCAAAGAAAAGTGTTTACATTGCTCCCTGCGGACATCTCAAGTGGTAGTCACAGATGGCCACTAGAGATGCTTATTGGGTCAGTGCTGCATGGTATGCAGCACGACATTCAGCATCTCCAAACTCTGCATTGAGATGCTGAATGCTCCCCATATAGATGCATTGATTCAATGCATCTCTATGAAGAGATGCTGATTGGCACAGTGTGGCTATTTTCCATGCATACACAATCATATCCCAATCCTTACAGTTCGCTGTAGTGGTTATGGTGATTCAAGTGGTCTTGTAATACCTAAATCTATAAGAGGAGTAAATTCTAGCTTCAATTGTCCAGAAAAGACCATAGCTAATTAAATCCTATTTAGCATGCATCCCACTTTAACAAATTCTGCAGAACTCTGTCATGTCTAAGCAGGTACCATTACACGTTCAGCACCAATCTGTCAAAATTTTAAATCAAGTGGTATCCATTTATTTAACTTCAAAAAGAAAAATAAATCTAGCTTTTTAAAAGTGGAACATCTTTATGTAGGACTTCGAAAATAATGCTAAAATGTACATTTATTTTGATAGGTATTCCCACTACATAATATTTACAGGCTCACCCTTTTATATACACTCTCTACATTAATACACAACTTGCAATTCCCCATACAGCTTCCTGTCTTGATCCTTTCACTCGTTGCTTCGTTTTAAAAAAAAACAGACAACAAACAAACAAACAAAAAATAAAGTTGTTATGTGCTTGGCTTATAATACGAATATACTGATAACTCACTGAGCGTCCTCATTATCCACCGCCTCGCAGAGCTTCCGAGCCAGAGTCTCCATCCTGATGCAGAAACATCGACAGTGATAGGGACAAATAAAAACAGACTTAGAACCCAGTTTGGAATGTCGAGAGAATGAAGGGCTGTATGGAACGGATTCTGCTGAGCTTCACGCGATCCATAGTAAACAAGGCATTATGAACATTCTTCACAACAAACTCCAGAGGAAACTGACAGCCATGTTTCAGGAAGACAAAAGCAAACAGGCTAGCGATTCAAACATCCCTCCTATAGCCCGGTCCAACCCTCTCAGCTGTTCCCCGCCCAATGCATGCCTCCTCCAGAATAGATGGGGCTGTTACTCAGTGTAGCCCGACCTCTTTTCCAATAAGTCCTTCAGACATGTGCACCTCCTAGTACACGCCTTTACTCCATACAGTTTAACCCACCCACATCTCATTGCCTTCTCCCCACCATGGCAGCGATGACTTGCCTGCAGTGCAGTTTATTAGTGGATATAATTCAAGGTAGCATCGACTCATTAGCAACTAGAAGTGATTTGAAATGATCCAACTCAGCTACACAGGAAACATGGTTATTTACTAAAGTAAGACATGTCAGAAATATAAAGAGAATTTGAAGGAAATTTAAACGTTTAGAACAAAATAGGTAAGGTGGAAGCACAGTCAGATAAGAGGATTTTTTTCCCCACCCATTTAGTATTTTGGCCAAATAATTTGAAATTCCCTTCCAATTTTCTATCTTTACTTAACCCCTTAGTGACCAGACCGCATTTCAATTTTCTTACCGTTAAGGACCAGGGCTGTTTTTACATTTCTGCGGTGTTTGTGTTTAGCTGTAATATACCTCTTACTCATTTACTGTACCCACAATTTATTCTATACTGTTTTTTGCCATTAAAGGGACTTTCTAAGGATACCATTATTTTCTTCATATCACATAATTTACTGTAAAAAATATAAAATATGATGATGAAATTTAAAAAAAACACACTTTTTCTAAATTTAACCCCTAAAATTTGTTGCATATCTACAACCGTCAAAAGACACCCATGCTACATAGTTTCTAAATTTTGTCCTTACTTTAGAAATGCCCAATGTTAGCATGCTCTTAGCTTTTTTTGGAAAGTGATAGGGCTATAAGTACAAGTAGCACTTTGCTTTTTCCAAACCATTTTTTGTTGCAAAATGAACGCAAGTTACATTGTAACATTGATATCTGTCAGGAATCCCTGAATAAAACCTTCACATGTATATATTTTTTTAAAGAAGACAACCTAAGGTATTAAACGTGGGGTATTTTGACTCTTGTCACGCAACCATTTTACCACAAATCTAAGCCAAATTTAAAAAAAAAATACTAACTGGTAATTTTTTTGACACACATAGCAATTTAAGAATACATGTACTGAGAACTTTAAGGGTTTCTGCCCAAAAACACCCAACATCTCTGGAGTACAGTGATACAACCCATGTATAGGTGTGTCGGGTTCTCTGGGGGCTAAAAGACCTTATTTGGAGAGAGCGCATTCCAGTTTTCCAACTTGGAATTTTCACAGCTGGTCATCATGCACCCATGTCCTATTTGGGACATTTTTGAAGCCGGCCAATGTAATTTACCACCATCTAACCATATATTTTTGAAAAGTAGACAACCGAGTGTATTCAAACACTGGCCAAAGTTAGCATTTATATTTGTGTTAAAAATACAAAAAAACATTATGAACGCTAACTTTGGCCAGTGTTTGTGACTAAGCGGCTACTAAAAAAGACTGGACATACCCCATTTGCAATACGTTGGGTTATCTACTTTTGCAAATGGTATGCCATCATGGGGGTAATTCTCATTCCTGTGCTACCATCCATTCTCAAAGGCAATGTAACTGTCGAATTTCAATGTGAAAAAACTGAAACACAAGCCTTATATTTGACTCTGTAACTTTCCAAGACACCATAAAACCTATACATGGGGGGTACTGTTATACTCAGAAGACGTCACTGAACACAAATATTAGTGTTCCAAAACATATAAAACGTATCACAAGAATTAGTCAGTGTACGTGCCGTTTGTGTGTGAAAAATGCAAAAAAAATTAACTTTCACTGATGATATCATTGTTGTAATACATTTTACATTTCTAATATTTGTGTTCAGCAAAGTCTCCAGAGTAAAACAGTACCCCCCATGTACAGGTTTTATGGTGTCTTGTAAAGTTACAGGGTTAAATATAGTGCTAGAAAATTAAATTCTTTGGACTTTCTGCCTGGGTTATCAGGCTGGTCCCGCAAATTGTAATTAATAAAATGACTTAATTATGTAAAAATATTACTGTGGCAAACCTAGCCACTTTAGATTGTATTGTCATAGGTCTAAAGGTTGACTTAGAAAAGCTGGTTATATTCTGTTAATGTATGTATCCATGTATACCTGTAATAGAGAGCATTCGCATGCTAGCAGCCGAAAGCCGCTAGCATTCCTATGGTAGTTTCACAAACAGTGACTTCCCACACTGTTCGTGAAACGAATAAAGTACCGAATGTGAGCCCACACACAGGGGGTCGTGTGGCTCCTATTAATCAATTGCAACACTGTAGCAATCAACGGTTAATTGATTTCCCAGGTGGCCGTCATTCGGCTAACGACCACGAGGCGGCGGCCATCTTGGATTTTCCTTTTGCCCAGCGGTGTTTGGTCGTCGAGTGCCTGGAACTAAAATCGGCTACTCGACGGCGCGAACACCGCTGGACTTCTAGGCCGTTTGGGAGCGCTGGTCTTTCGGTATTTTGTTCTCAATTATGTATTTGGTATTTTTAAGATAAATATATATTAAAGTATGTTTCGTGCGGCGTTCGGTTATTTATGCTGGGATCTGAGCGGTACTTTCCCAAAGTGTGCGCTCAGACCCCAGCTATCTACCGAACGGTCATTCGGTATAATAGCAGGAATAATGTTACAGTTATGGATTTTTGTGTAAAAAGCCAGTTCTGCTGTACGGAGGGTTAATCCACTTAACAGGATATTCTAGTGGGAGTATCCCTCTCGTACAGCAGTGTATGGTGGGAGAAATGTCCTGTATATTCAGTTCCCCATGTAGTCCTCTACTGTATAACCCCTGTAAAGTGATTAAGGAAACCCCTTGCATGGGGAACTACATAAATACTGGAGCTGTGAGTAAAATAGTCAGTTGACTCCCAGAACTGTGTTTCGTCCGGTTACTGGGGGATTTGGGATATTGCCTTCATTTCCAGTGCTTCACTTGGATTATTTTCTGTACCAGTGGAGATATTGGGATTTAATATTGTAGCTCCGCTACAATTACATAAATATATATGTAGAATTAAATGCTGTAACTCAGACAACGCGAGAACCGATCTCTGTATCGGCAGGGCGATTTGATCAACTTTCCTCTCGTGCATTTTGGCGGTTTCAAACACAGACACACTTGTTGATGGTGAGCACTTAATTTTTCTGTATATATATTCTGTTTGCAATGTATGTTATGTTATATTTTCTATCCTGAAGAAGGCTCCAGATGTGAGCCGAAACGTTGATGAAAATTTTTTTATTGTGAATATGAATTAAATGTTATATTTCATTTATACCACAAAGACCCTGGAGTGCATTCAATTTGTTGGATACCTACATTTTTTTGCTGGCTCTGCACCGGGCATTAAAGTTATTATACACGTGGAGTGCAAGCACCTTGGATTTATATATATATACATATATATATATACATACATACACACACACGTCCCATGTCTCAGCACTCGATGCTCCCAGTCTTTTAATGCTCTGGTGCAGTCTCCAACCAAATTGTATACGATACCAGTAGACATCACTCGGTGCCCTCTACTGGTATCGCTCGCATGCGTGCGTGTGCGTGTGCGTGTGTGTATATATATATATATATATATACATATACATACATACATACATACATATACACATACATACATATATATACACATACATACACTTGGGTACAACCTGTATAGTCATGATGGATTGCACCTAAACGGAAGAGGGTCTGCTGTGCTGGGGGATAGGATGGCTAGAAGGTTGGAGGAGATTTTAAACTAGTGGTAGGGGGGGAGGGTCAAAGCAATCTAGAAAATGGAGATATGATGGAAAAGAGATGGGCTTTAGCTCAGAACAAAGGGGGTGGAGATGGGGGGAGGGGAAAACTCAGAACAGAGGAGGTATGTAATATTGATAATTCACAAAAAGTACAAAAGACTCATGATAATATTAAATGTATGCTTACTAATGCAAGGAGCCTATATAACAAAATGGGGGAACTAGAGGCAATAGCATACACTAAACAATATGATATAATAGGCATAACAGAAACATGGTGGGATGAGACACATGACTGGGCAGTTAATTTAAATGGGTACACGTTATTTAGGAAGGATAGGAAAAACAAGAAGGGTGGTGGGGTATGTTTATATGTCAACCGTGAGTTAAAGTCAAATCTTAGGCATGTGGAGTGTGACGAGGAAAAGGTGGAGGCTTTATGGGTAGATATCTGCTTGGGGAAAACAAAGGGAAATCAATTATTGGTTGGGATATGTTATAAACCACCTAATGTAAATATTAATGAGGAAGAACAGCTGTTAGAGCAAATTGAGAAAGCTGCAAATCGAGGTAACACGTTAATTATTGGAGATTTTAATTATCCAGACATAAATTGGGAAAGAGGGACTAGTACTTCAGCAAGGGGAATCAGGTTTTTGAATGTGTTAAATGACACCTTTATGTCACAACTGGTACAAGCACCAACTAGACAGGATGCTTGTCTGGATCTTGTCATAACAAACAATGTTGATCTTTTAACCAACATTCAAGTAGGGGAGCATTTGGGAAATAGTGATCACAATATGGTAAATTTTGAAATAAACTCAAAAAAGCAAAAGCAGGTGGGGTATACTAAAACATATAATTTTAAAAAGCCAATTTCAATAAGATTAGGGCAGCTCTACAACATATCGACTGGCATAAACTCCTTAGTGATAAAAACACTGAGGATAAATGGAAACTATTCAAACATATATTAGAAAGGTACATTTCTCAGTATGTACCATTGGGTAATAAATATAAAAGAAACAAATTAAAACCAATGTGGCTTAGTAGAGAAGTAAAACAAGAGATTAAAAATAAGAAAAGGGCATTTTCTTCAGTATATATTAATGAGGATCCTATGGCAAGAGATATGCAA